TTCTTAGCAGGGGTTTTATTTAATAAAGTTTACCGGGTAAAAATTGAATTGATTTGCAAGCGAAAAAACTTTGCAAGCAAAACGAACTCAATTTTCTGCTTGCTCTAGATAATTCCTGTTGAATTTGATATCAATTTAATAATAATAGCCGAAATGACGTAAAAAAATTGCAGAGTGGAGTTAGATAACCAGCCCGTATTAACCATCCTACAAAAAATCCCTTTGCTCTGACTTGTTATAAAATTTGCAGGTAAATTCCCCTACTTTACAACTTTCTTATAAAAATACAACAGCATTTCTCCCCCAAAGAAACCATAAAACCTAAAATTACGGTAATTACGGATAAAAATCAATTCTTGGAAAGTTTTTTTTCAAATTTACGCATGTACAAAATTTAAAATTGTAAATACAAAATGTGGAACTCGAACAAAAAAAGATGGAAAAAAATGTTGATTTGCTTTAAATCACTTTATTAGACAACTTTAATTGTTCGAAATTGTTCTGGGGACAATAGTCATCAGTTTTGACAATGCATGTCATATAAATTGAAATTATTCTGGTTTAAATAAACAGCACGTGGTATAACTTCGGACGTTTTGCATGTAGGGCTCAGATATAAGTTGATGAAACTCTTGCGGTCAGCATCTAGTTATTAACTGTGGATTAGGAAAAAATTACTATTTTTTAACATTCATAGAGCGTAAACTTGTAAGAAGTTGTAGTAATTCCTAAAAAAAGTTCTCAGTAGCCATTTTTGGTTTACACGGAAGCATTTCAGCATGTGAAACTTTTGTTAAATCCTCTATGCAAACTAATTATAAATAAGCAAAATATCAGAGCATTTCATCTCACTGCATTTCATCTTAAAATTTCTGATATGTTTTTTGAATCTAAATCAACACTGATTGGGCTTTAGAATGATACATCACTTGAGGTGGGCAAAGGAAGTTGGCAAGAAAGAAAATAATCTATGCCATAGAGATTTTTCACTTTGGTAAGCACCCGGACTGGCAAAATATGGTATGATAAATAAAAAAAAGAGCTTATCATCATACAGTTTTAAGGACTAAAAACTTTGTATAAAAATTACAAAATAAGCATTTTTTTCATGCTTAAGTTTTTATAATAAGCATGTTTCCACACTTTGAAGTTAGACAATCATTTTTTTACCATACGTTTTATATCAGAAAATGTATGAAAAGAGCATCAGAAATTTTTTTCACCATGAAATTTGTGATAAGTTTTTTTCTATGCAACAAAACACAAGAACGTTTTCAGCTTTGAATTTTGATTTCAGTCGTGAATTTCCGTGTTTTGTCCAAAACAAAAATCAAGGATTTTCAAGCTTAAGAAAACCCAGATATAAGGTAGCTCTTGCCTCACATATAAGCTGCCTTTGGTGATTCGCCATGTACATTAATGTTGGGATTTTTACATTTTTGTATATGGCTACAACAATTGTACTTTGAAATATCAAAAATTCTTTTAAAGCTAAATCTGCCACAAATTTGTTTTGTTTAGGCTTAATACTTGTAAGAATCTTTTCGAAACAAAAAAAAATGATTGAAAAAAAGCGTATCATACAATTTTCTTCTATGAAACTTGTATGATAAGCTTTTTTGCAACTGCGTCAACCTTGGAGTCGGAGCAAAACAAAAATTTTACGCCATGAATTTCTGCCTTTCGAGATTTTTCAAATAAGTTTCATGATTCTGGTTCGTTGAAATTTAGAAAACTTTATAAGAAATAACCATATTTGGCGGATGCACATTTCCCCTTTAAAACTGCAAGAGTAGAATTGTAGGATCAATTTACCAAAAACGCTGAAACAAAATAGTAAAAAATGATTATTACGTGATTTTTTTTGAAAGTTTTTGATGGACTGAAATTTACTGCCTTTCTATTCGTAACTTTTTCGCTTTGAAAAAGACAATGCACGTGAGCAGGGGCGGATTTAGGGGGGGGGGGCGGGGGGCGGACGCCCCCCCCCCCCCCCCCCCCCCTCAGGGATTCGACCCCCTGCCGACCCAAAGGGTCCCCCCTTTGATACTTTTTCAGAAATCCATTTTTGGCCGACCGACCCTAAAATTTTTCTAAAGGCGCCTTCGGCGCCAATATATACTAACTTTGAGGGGGAGCGCGCGCCAAAAAAACGCGATTTTTTTGTCAAATTTTTCAAAAATTGCCCAAAAACGGCTTTTTGACTGTTTTTCAAAAATTTGCCTGCGGCGCAGAAAATTTAGCCAAAGTACGGGCCAAACAGTGCTTTGGGAGAGCTCGAAAAATCAATTTGGTCGACCTAAAAAAAAAAAGGTCGTCAAAATTTTTGGAAAACTTTTTGAAAATCCGCCCCCCCCCCCCCCCCCTCGAGAAAATCCTAGATCCGCCCCTGCACGTGAGTGAATTAAATTACCATACAAACAAAAAACATAAAATCCGGTAAAAGATACCTTTTTTGCATTTGATATGACGTTATAACTTGCGGTCTCCATCTCTTTGAGTACAAGAATGTTGATGGGCATTCGAGGGAATGTAGCACAGTGCGCACTTCCCACATTTCGCACTTTTTAAATTTAGCGGCATAATACGTTCTTCATGCATTTTCTCCGCATTTATTACTGGACCTTAAGTGTGAAATATTTGGGGCGAATTGTGGGAGGGATTGAAATGTTCGAGGGGCAAAATGTGCCACTAAAATTAGAAGGAGCCAAGTAAATGTACACCCAAATAAGATGATCAAATGAAATATGCAGTTCATATTTCGGAAACAAACCAGACCTTGGCAAGAAAATTTGATGCCATCTGCACATTTTAAAGATTAAATTTTCTTTATTTTTATTTCCTAGTTAGGGAATAATGTGGAGATTATGCGGAATTATTTCCGTGCAGATAATGGGAAAAATTAAAGGCCGCACAAAATACCCTAGAATGATTACTCTACAAAATATGGTTGACGTGACTTAATCAGTATTGAAGAATGCAGACTCCATGTAATTAGCAAAAAGTTTACAAACTAAAAGCGACGTGACCAGGCGCGGATCTAGGATTTTATCGAATGGGGGGGGGCAGATTTTCAAAAAACAGGCCAAGAAAGGCGTTTTTAAGCATTTTTTGGAAAATATTGACCAAAAAATCGCGTTTTTTCAGCGCGCGCTCCCCCCTCAAAGTTAGTGTATAATGGCGTCAAAGGCGCCTTTAGAAAAATTTTAGGGTCAGTCAGCCAAAAATGGATATCTCAAAATATTACAAAGAGGGGACCCTCTGGGTCGGCAGGGGGTCGAATCCCTGAAGAAAGAAGACATCCGCCAACCCCCGCCCCCCCCCCTCAATCCGCTACTGGACGTGACTACACCATGTAGTATTGCGAAATACTACACACACACAAAAGACCATTGTCTTAATTGTTTATTTAACGACCCAATTCTAAATTGGAGGGTGCCATTTAAATTAAAGCCTCTTTTCACTAAATCAGATATTGACTGATTTACTCTTATTAGGACTATAAAATCTTGTTTTGAAAATCCACTCCTTTTTAAATACTTGTCCAATTTTTCTCATTTTTTCATGCTCAATATTTTAAAAGGGCGGCGATTATTAATACGTCCCTTTTAACTTAACTTGAAACAAACTGGATAAATATTTAGCAGTCTTGCCGGCTGCACTGAAATTCTCCTTGCTTTGATTAAGCAGAGGTGCACCTGCAATATGATGCATCAGAGAGAGTAATATGAATTTTTAATAAGACAAACTGAAGGCTGCGGTTTTTATCAAAGAGGACTAATAAGTTGAAGATATTTGGTTTGAAAAAATCAAATAAAAACTAGTTGAAAATTCCCTTATTAAAAAGGGAGAACAAAGGAGCAGGTGAAATCTGAATAATTAAAGATTGAATCAGCCGCCGGTTTATGCTTACGAGCAAAAGGACTGGCCTGAAATCTTCAGTGTTTCATTTTGCTCAGTAAGCAGCAAGTTAGATATCTTCAGTTAGACCTTTTCAAAAAATAAATAATTTTTCTTTTCTGCCTTTACAGTAAAATTAAACTAGTCTTTTTTCACAAATAAAATAGAGAATAAATTCTCATTTCAAGTTCGATAAAATTATAAATCGAGATACTCGAGATAACCACAACCGAGGAAGTCTGGACTACAAGTACCCAAAGGACTACGGCAAGACGATTCAGACGACCCAACCAGAAGTGCTGACTTGGACAAAATCAAGGGCAACCATACATACTAATCAGCCACCGACCTTAGTAAGAAGATAAAAAATTGATGAACAAAATAAGATTAGCTCAACCTCCCCTCATAGGTATATTTCTTTAAGCTGTTCGATTCATTTATATAATCTAATAACCCAGTGCTCTGTATCTAACCAACTAATTAATTCATACCTTTTCTAACTATTGTTTCTACTCTACTTTTTGTCAAGACAATTTGACGATCTAAGGTGAGACTTATAATTTAGGATAAAATTACTAAGCATTCAACCAGCAATGACCGCTTAGTAAAACTGGTGCGACCGCAGCAGAGAACTACTCCTTAAGAAATTCTTTTTCCAACAAACTCAAAACAGCTTTTAAAATTCAAAAAAATATAATAATATTAGGATCTGTGAGTATTTGTCAGATTAGTTTCCAACCTCAAAAAGCCAGAGACAATGGGTATCTTTCGATAGAAACACAATTTCATTGTCTTCTACTTGACAGATATTCCTAGTAGGTTCTTGCGAAAGCATCCCCTGCGCTAGCAGTCGCCCACGATATCCCTCCATCTCGAGGTCTATTAGACGGCTTTCTAACTGACATTAGCTCATGAACTTAACTATTATCTATTATTATAATAATATATAAAATTTCTGAAAGAATCGTTCTCTGCCTAAGTCCGCTAGTAAGATATACCCGTTTTGTCCAGTAATCCACTAATTACATGCCAAAACTTCAGTTTAAAGTTATCATCACTAAAATTAACGAAATTCTGTATTAAACTAAAGTGCTCAAAAACTTATTAAATATCTTCAATTATTTTTTCGAGGGGGTTAAGTGGTCATATGTGCGATCTAAGAGTACCCTAAATTGTATGATAAATTGAATTCTTCAACACATTATCTCAAACCATCCACGGTTGTTGCTATTTATCCTAATCCTTCATCAATTCTCGAGGCTTATCCTCAAATTTTCTTAAACTCATTTTAATTCTAACCACCTTAACGTAACTTAAACCTAAATCATCCATCAGTAAAGCTACCAATTACTGAAACTAAGGAAGAAAATAACAAAAACCAAAAAGGAAGGAACGGATTTGAGTGTTTTTTGATAAATCATTAGTTTTTTTGACACCGTTTAAATATACACCTAATTAACAATAAGATTACGCACTAAAACCAATCTTAAACGTTAACCACATAACACCAAACACCAAGTTTTAGTTTCAGCACAAAAATATCAGGTTTCACAACAAAAACTAAATTTAAAACACTGACACATCCACTTTATATTGATAAAATAGGTTTCATATGATAGCATAAGCACTAAAAAATTGATTTTTACCAGCCAAAACTTTTGGTTTCAGTCTAGGTTTCAGTTATAGGTCCAAACGTTTCAGTTAAAATAAGTATAGTTTCCGGTCAAAATTTCAAGTTTCTGTAAACGGATTCGGGTAAAACAGCAAAAGTTGAACTAGTCAAACCCAACTTTGGATACCATAAGTCAAAAACCTGGTCTTAAATGGTACGTTTTTGTTAGTTTCAGGTTTCAGAACACAAAAATTGAGTTTTTGGTCTCAAAATTGAGCTCCGAACGCCGAATTTTGACTTTCTAAAGAAAACTAACGGTGTTAAAACCCACCAAACCAATTTTAAATTTTGGTTCCTAAGGCTGAAACGTACGTTTCAGAATTGGTGTTTTTGGTTTCAGAACCAAAAAACTTGCTTCCCGAGAAAAATTTTTGTAAAATATTGAAAGATAATAAGAATCTTTAATGCACTAACAAATTTTTGAACTCAAAAAACTTCTAGAAGGTGTTAGTTTGAGCCCTCAAACTTATAGTTTCAGAAAACTAAAATCGTCGTATTAAGCTAAAATTTTCATCTTTTTGGCAATTTTATTGCTGGAATAGAAATATATTAGAGAGACCAACCTAAATTTTCAATCTCAAAACTTTAAAACCAAGTGGTCAAACCATAGTTTCAGTTCTAGAAATCATAGTTTCAGCCGCAAAAACTTAGGTTTCCGCAAACAAATTTTTGATTTTGAAGTTGCAAACCTGTTCCAAATTCTAATTTACACTAGACCAGCTATCAAAACCCAGCTTTTTATTTTCATGCATCGAGTTTGAGAGAGTTTAAAAGTTTTAGGTTTGAGTTTCCAAAAACTAAGTTTAAGATATCAAAAGATTCGGTTTTCTCGAATTTTTTTGCAAGATAAAGCGAAAACCAGATTTAATAAAGCGTATAGAAATCTTTAAGATTAAGAAAATTCAACTTCAGCTACCATAGTTTCAGGTTTCAGATTATCGTTTCAGTCAAAAAGTTTTCTAAAAATTTTTAACAAAAAAATTAAGTTTTGAACCAATAATAACCAATAAAGGCATATAGTTATATTGTTAACCATACCATAGCATCAATAAAACTTCACTTCAACAAAGTTTTAGGTTTCAGTTAAGGTTTCAGCGAATAAAAAACTTGAAAAACTTAGAAAAAATTTTAAAAATTTTTTTTTTTCTCAAAGAAATTTTTTTATTTCCTTATCTTATTATTAATAACCTTTGTTAATATTCAATAATTCCTAAGAGGTTTTCATTACTTTAAGACATACTAATCAAATAGTACAACTTGGCTTGAGATAAAGAAAACAAACATCGTGAAATTAATGTCAACACATTTTAAAATTGACGTCAGTACAATAAATTTAAAACTCAAATTAGGAAATAAAGTCTCTAACATCATATGGTATATCACTAATACTAAAAAAAACCATATTAGTATACTAGCAAAACACCCTAACGAAAATAAACACGAATTATACGTCTTCTTTTGACGATATACTCCAGAAATTGACACAATTCTTCAGCAAATAAAAATACCAAACAACATAATTTGTATACCGGAAGAGCAATTAATTGCTTCACTCCCGATTGCTTTTTGATATCTTAATTTACCCAAGCACAAAACTACTTGCATTTTAATCATTTTTTATTAAAAACAAAACATTTTCCTTAACAAAAATTAAAAATAATAACAAGTTCATAAGAAAAAATTTAAATATTTTTTATATTGTTCATCATTCCCTAGATAAATATTTATGTCCCTAAAAGGATGTAAAATGCTATGACCAACTTTTATCAAGTAAATACAACAGCATTTAATTTAAAACTGGATTAAAAAATAAATCCACAAAAATTATTTGTTATATCACCAATATCCAAAAAGATCAAATCACAATTTTGTCCAAACACCCACACAAAAATGTTCACGAATTAACCATTCTTTCCAGCAGCAATACCCCAGAGATAACTTCCATCTTAAAAAAGCTTAATCAACCCCATAGCACTATTGATCTATCTAACAAAAGTTCGTATTCATTGATCTCAGCAAACTTCATTGTAACTTAAATAGAATTATTTCAGTCCAAAAAAATTGATCAGTACACAACACATCCAAACCCTTTATATATTGTTAACAAAACATTGAGTGAATTAAACAAAGATGGCAAACGTAGTAGCATACCCAGATTTAGCTCTCGAAAAGTTTACCGGCTTAGATCCGAATGAAGATGCAAGAGATTTTCTTGATATAGTAGAGAAAAAGATACCATTTTCACTAGGCACTAGACCAGGAGATGCAGGTGACGAACAAGACGCATATGATAACAGACAAAGAGCCTTATTTGGTTCAATATTAAGAGGTCCAGCCGCTCAATGGTATCAGGGATTAGCAGCAAACTTACCTTGGAATGATATAAGAGATCAATTCATAGATAGATTCACTGATGATAAAGATAAGTATTGGAGACGAATAGAAGCAGAAAACATAAAAATACAACCTGATGAATTCATTAAAAGCTACATACATAGATTAAGCACCGCAGTAGACCGTGGATGGCCTAATCCAACTTTTAATGATGATCAAAGAACAGCAAAGAAAATGGAATTCTTTGTACGCGGCTTAAGCCCGCCAGGCTTGAAACAAAAGGCTCAACAATTCCTAATTGAGAATCCACCCGCAACTTGGCAACAATTAAAAGATCATATTGCTACAAAAGACTTAAGTTTTGCAATAAGTAGTGAATTTATTGGAACAGCATCCAGTAGCATAGAAAATAAATTGGAAATAGAGGGAATAAAGAATCAACTTAAAGAGTTAACAGGACTAATGAAGGATCATAAAATAAACGCAGCCTATAATCCACATGAGCATAGAAACAAACAAAACAACCCAATGTTTTGCAATTGGTGTTGCATGTCAGGCCACACGATAAGCCATTGCTTTAAATATAACGATCAACAGGAGCAAAATTATGACTCGCTTCAATTAAGAGAGAATTCAAACAGAAGTCACCATAACTATAGCAAGAGTAGGTCAAGAGTAGACAACAATTTCAATGACATAAACTCTCAGCAAGAGTTCAGGCACTTGTCAAACTTTAATGAAAGTTCTCAATCGCGTGATAGGTCGAACAGTAAGAAACACTTCAACGAAAATAACGATTATCATTCACCTTACCAGATCCACAACTTTAGTGATGATGACATTCCAGGAGACTATACCGATAATGAGTGTGAACTTGTGAATTTAAACTAGATCAGTCTCCGTCTGAACCAAAAATACAATTGTATATTAACTTATACCAACATCCCGTCGGAGACAAAAATAAAAATAACGGTCTGGAAACCCAATTTCTACTAGACACTGGAGCAACATGTTCGCTTATTAATTTCGACAGTTATGATCAATATTGTAAAATACAGCCTCTACAGCTGAATAAATCAAGATCAAACACAGTGGCTGTTAATGGAGAAAAACTTAAACTTATAGGTTATACTAATTTTGAATCAACTTTTGGTACAAACACTGATAATCCGGTAAAAATCAAAGCATGGATTTCAGCCGAGAACGGATGCGATCTAAATATATTAGGAATGGATTTCATTTCTTACATTTTTAAATCAATAAACTTTCCGAATTTAAACTTAGAACTAAAAAAATACCCAGATGTAAGAGTTCCTATTAGTACTATAAGAAGCAAAAGTTATCCATATCTAAGCTTTTATCAAAATGTACTTCTTGATAAAAATATAACTATTTCACCAAAATCATCCCGCGTAATTTCAATTTCTCCAGCAGGCATGGTTTTCAGATTAGGAACATCGTTTAGAATTGATAAGTCCTTAGAACAAAAAAGCATCAATGCAAAAAGCATTTATTGTAGGAATGAAATTAAGTCAATGCCTATCGTACTAAAAAATTCCAGAGAATCAAAAGTAGATATAAACAAAGGTGTAATAGGCCAAACGTTTGAAAACATAGAAATAAAAAAACCCATTTCTTCCTGCTTTAAAATATTTATAAATGTGAAGTTTTCATTAAAGCTTTTATAACGCTTTAAGTTTGTGAAATTTACCTAACGTTTTGTATACTGAGCAGTAAATCTAATTTAATCTTACTAAAAAATAAGATTACGAGTATTATCCTACAAATATACTACAATGAATAGCGGTTCTGTATGACAACCAAAAGGATATGCCAAAAAGCATGAACGCGGATTTAATTCTTAACCGAGATCGAAAACAGTCAAGTACGCTAACAATTTTGGACCATCCTCAAAATCAACTAAAGATAGAGGGATCGGAACCCAATGGCTCAGACAAAAAAGTTTTTCGACTACAACATATTTGCAAAAAAAATTGCAAAAGGCCAGGAGTTTAAAATATTACAGTTTTACGAGTCTATAATAATTTCATTTTCAGGTGGTTTTATTGACTGAAAATTCAGTATTACACTTAAGGGAATGACAAATTACCCTACGTACAATAACGAGAATTAATAGAGTGAAACCTTTGATAAAAGAACTAGCCAATGTAAAATTGTAACAAACCCATTCTGCGAAGTTAATTTGCACCATCGGATTCCTCTTAGGGCCCAAGTAGGGACCGATGACATTAATTATTATCTTTGTAGTTTTCAAGTTACAAAATGCAAACTAGAAGAAATTCATCAAAAAGGCAAATATCACCTCCGTTCTTCTCAACACATTGAGTAAAGTTTTCACCAATATTCTTTATCATAAAATGGGCGAACAATGTTTTTCGACCCGACCCGCCGCAGATTTATGCCAGCATTTGTTGGTGGCTTCATGTAGCCTTTTTAAAATTATGGTGCATATTCTTTCAACAACGCAAATGCTTGTTGGTGGCTGTTTGCAGCCTTTGAGACTCTTATGATTCGCTCCTCACAATTTGGCCAAAATATCAATTCGGTAGTTCAAAATCCACAACATGCAGGCATTTAAACCCTTAAAAACAACAAATTTTCAGAAGCACGCTTTGAAAATTGTACTGCATCATCCTCAAGATTGTTTACGTTAAATTTTTGCATCATAAAGTTCAGAATGACTTTCTGTACTAAAGATGTGAACATGGATTGATGCAGAGGATTAAAACCAAAGAGAAACTAATAAACTTATCTTTTTGAAAACTATACAGTTTGCAAACTGTCTGTTTAATATTCCTTTTCTACGATATTTCATTTTGATTTGATTCTAATTTAAATCTTTTCTTTTTTCTATCAAAAAATGTAACAAAAATTGCTGGTTATGACAACCAGGTGGACATACATTTATATTAGGGGTTAATTAATGCCCAAATTTCCATTTTTGCTTTAACTACATAAGTTTAATATCTGAGCTTATCTGTGTCGGAAAATGCTTTATTCCTGTGGTTAATAAACACCATGATCGTCTTTCTTCATTTGTATTCCTGTGGTTAATTAACACCATGATCGTCTTTCTTCATTTGTTTTCCGTGGTGGGTTTGTGTGAAACCACAAGATTATATTTTCCACCTTTTATATATATACAATTTTACACTTTGTCCTTCATTTTTCAAACATTTGATAATAAGCCTTAGTATCCGAATGTAATTCGGGATTTTCAATATTTACTTATTTTATATTGATGTTTAGCAAAATGGAATATGACCCAATTTTAAACTGGAACTGCAGAAATGCAGACCCAGCACCAGAGGAGTTTAAAAGAAAGCTGCCTCTCAGGAAGAAACAACGGAAACTTGTAGCAGTACAATCTTTGTCAAGGCAAGACGGGTTAAATAAGAACCCTCGCAATTTTCCCAGTTTGACTCAGAGATTGGAACTGCAGAAGTGCAGAGAAACCAAGTTGGATACGGAAAATCCAAAATATATAACGAGTTTAAAGTACTCAATAAAAGAAAATTATAACAGATGGAAACTGCCATCGTTCATTGAAGTCGCCAACTCAACCACAATGGAAAAGGCGATGATGCCTATCGACTTCATAACCCAGCCAGAAGTGGTTATAAAGAACGAAAACAACTTCTGAAAATTAAAGAAGAAGGAGGAACACGGCTACATCCTCAAGGCAGGAGGCATGCAAGTCACCATCCCGTTCGAGGGAATAACTGCTTTTCCGAACCATGTAAAAAACAGACAGGAAGAGCAGGACGACATTCAACAACTTACGGATGAAATGAGCAGACTACGAATCAAGAACAAGATCAAAAAGAAGAAAATCGTGAAGTTGCAACAAAAACTAGAGGCTTCACAGAGGAAGATAGCGATCCTCAGATCATACAACGTGGAGCTTGAATTCGGAAGGAAGCTCTAGATAAAACCTAACTTATCTTTATAACTTTTTCGTTTGATGTTCTCTTTAAATTTTATAACTATAGTATTTAACCATTAAAGTGTTTAAATTTTCACCTTGGTAACTGTAAGAATCGAACAGCTTAATTTTCTAAAAAAAGGGGTGAGTTGTAGTATTGCGAAATACTACACACACACAAAAGACCATTGTCTTAATTGTTTATTTAACGACCCAATTCTAAATTGGAGCGTGCCATTTAAATTAAAGCCTTTTTTCACTAAATCAGATATTGACTGATTTACTCTTATTAGGACTATAAAATCTTGTTTTGAAAATCCACTCCTTTTTAAATACTTGTCCAATTTTTCTCATTTTTTCAGGCTCAATATTTTAAAAGGGCGGCGATTATTAATACGTCCCTTTTAACTTAACTTGAAACAAACTGGATAAATATTTAGCAGTCTTGCCGGCTGCACTGAACTTCTCCTTGCTTTGATTAAGCAGAGGTGCACCTGCAATAGGATGCATCAGAGAGAGTAATATGAATTTTTAATAAGACAAACTGAAGGCTGCGGTTTTTATCAAAGGGGACTAATAAGTTGAAGATATTTGGTTTGAAAAAATCAAATAAAAACTAGTTGAAAATTCCCTTATTAAAAAGGGAGAACAAAGGAGCAGGTGAAATCTGAATAATTAAAGATTGAATCAGGCGCCGGTTTATGCTTACGAGCAAAAGGACTGGCCTGAAATCTTCAGTGTTTCATTTTGCTCAGTAAGCAGCAAGTTAGATATCTTCAGTTAGACCTTTTCAAAAAATAAATAATTTTTCTTTTCTGCCTTTACAGTAAAATTAAACTAGTCTTTTTTCACAAATAAAATAGAGAATAAATTCTCATTTCAAGTTCGATAAAATTATAAATCGAGATACTCGAGATAACCACAACCGAGGAAGTCTGGACTACAAGTACCCAAAGGACTACGGCAAGGCGATTCAGACGACCCAACCAGAAGTGCTGACTTGGACAAAATCAAGGGCAACCATACATACTAATCAGCCACCGACCTTAGTAAGAAGATAAAAAATTGATGAACAAAATAAGATTAGCTCAACCTCCCCTCATAGGTATATTTCTTTAAGCTGTTCGATTCATTTATATAATCTAATAACCCAGTGCTCTGTGCAATGACCGCTTAGTAAAACCAATAGTTAAAAAAGAAGACCGGATTTTTTTTTCCAATTTTCCCCGCCCTCGTTGTACAGTTGCCAAAAAATTGTTAACTCGTCAATTGAAATTTAAAAAACTTCAAAACTCTTTACATGTTTCAATATTACTCTGATTTTTGAAGAAAATGACAGAATATTTGTTCTCGGGGTAATTTTTGTCAAGTGAAAAAAAAACTATCCTGTGCACAAACATTTGACAGTTTCTCCGGAAATTGGAAAATCAAACAAGCATTAACTAACATAAAACAAATCAAGCAAGAATAAACTGGGATAAATACATTTTACAAGCAATAACTAGCAATTAAATTTTAATTTTGATTTATGTCAAAATGTTTAGTTCACCTGTACGGCGGTCTGATTGGGCGCGATGCCAGTTCTGAAGTTGAAGAGGATGTCCATAACGAATATTGAGTCGTTAATGCAATTGAATAGCATCCAGCTGCCAGCCAGAGTGTAGTTCTCCTCGAAGAATGCGATGGCCACTGGCAAGATCACAAGGTTGATGATCAGCAGTAGCAGCATCACAAAGTCCCACGTGAACCTAACAGAACAAAACAGAAGAAAAAGGGTTCAAATGAAGTTCAGTTTCACATTCCAATTTTATTTATTAGTTCAAGTCAAAGCGATGGAAAAGAATTCATAAGAAAAGTTTTCTGTTGAGTGGGAAAATTTCTTTTTAGAATTCTCCTAAGCTGATGCCTTTTTAATATTCTCCCAAGTCAAACTAACTGGTAAGAACACAATTTCATACAATGTTTGGTTATGAGTTTTGGCTATTTCCTTGGATTGGCACATTTTAATTGAACCATATGATTCAAAAAGGAGAAACCCCCTGTAAATAGGGTAAAAAAGATGATCAAACATGGTCAAAAAAGACTGGTCAAAAAGATGGAATCTGAAGTTTTTAATCCTAACAATTTATAAACAAAAATCACTCAAAATTATATAAGTTTTATCAATTCAAAATCATTGTTTTTGTGGTTACTTTGATTTCTCGATACTTGAAACACTGGTGTGAGCTTTACGCAGTTAATTATGCAAAAACGGCAGATGTAAGTGAAAGAACTCTCTAAAAACAAAAACTGTCATTGCTTTTCATGGAAAATTGTTGTTTAGTTCAATTACTCGGCTGGAAAAGTACTCGGCTGCGAAATAACTCGACTGGGAAGCTGGAAAAGAGCCCAAAATTTTGTTCTAATCATGAATACATATTTGGAACAAGTTTTTGGGCTCTTTTCCAGCTTCCCAAATTGTTCACACACCATTTTAATTTAAAAATATTGTAGAATTTTGTTCACCTGTTCAAGTTGACACGTTTAAATGCAGTTTATAATAAAAAAATTTTTTCTAAATAGAATTGAAAAAGAAGCCACTTTTTGAACTAAGCGTCAAAAAAGCGAACATTTTGTAAGTAATCTGAAATGATTGCAAAATCAGTTTGAAAAAAAATCTCACTCAAATGGGAGAGTTTTTTTACTGAAAAAGTGATATGAACACAAATGAAAACGCAACAAGATTTTAGCGCATACAAATCTTTAAAACTATCACTTTTACGAAAAAAAGAACAAGAACAAACAAAAAAATTCCCTCCACACGCCATATTAATTACAAAGTGATAGATTTAGCGATTTAACTCCTCTTAACCAATCAATTATTGGAAATGAACTTCCTGCAGCCAATTTGGAACAATTTTTAGGACGGATTAACTCTCCGCTTACGCGTTAATGGCGCGAAATATATTCCGCGTTAAGTGTCCAAATCGGCCAAAATGGCAATCTTTAAACCCCCATAACTTTAAGAAAAAAGATTATAGGTAAAATATCGTTTCAAAGTAAAGGTCAGGGCAACAATACCTTTTGATTGAAAAAAAACCGCCAAAAATGGCTATTCAATAAGTCGAAAATTGTCTGAAGAAATATTTCGTTCCTTTTTTTTTTACAAAAGTCGGAACAACAGCCTTGTAATTGCTAAAAAATATTATACAAAATTTGCAACCATTGAACAAAGCCAGCTCAAAAAACATAATTCACTTTCAATTGCTTGCATTTTTTTCAAGATTAGGAATCTTTGATCATTCTGTAACTTCACTCATTTGAAATCGGCAGTCGAAATTTCAGAAAAAAGACGCTAATTAAATAAGAAAAAAATACAAATATAGGGAAAAATGAGATTAGCTATGGGCATCTTTGAAGGTAAAAGCTTTTAAAAGTTTGCTTTTACTACAACTAAAATTTTGATATGATGAAAAGAAGTTTTTCGTAAACATGTAAAATTTTCATCCCATCTAAGAAATTAACGAAAGCATGTTTGCAAAAAAAAACACAAATCAACACCTTTGAAAAATAAGCATCCCAGGCTTGCTTCTCAGCCAAATAAACTATAACGTAAAACAAAAAACGGGTATAACCAAATGATTCAGAACCACCAAAAGGTTTGTATACTGACACTTTTTCAAGTAAGCGGAAAAATTGTTCAATAATTTAAACTATATACCTTGACTTTTTGAAGCTTCCTCAAGTTTTGAGATAGTCCATTCCATATCGGGATCAACATTATAGCATTCAGAAGCTATGAAGAGTAATTTTCGTATCTCTTCTAGTACCAGATTTTTTTTTTAGTATTTTTGATAGATATCAAAACTTTCTGATGGTTTCCATCTGATGAGAAAACTCATTAGACAAAATAGCTTTATGAAGAAATCTGCAGGTAAAATTTTTAGTTTTTAAATGCAGATCACAAAATCTATCAATGTTTTTTTTCATGGAGCAATTTCTTAAGCCTCAGTTTTTTTAACGACTCAAACAAATGATAATTTTCAAGGTATATTAAAGAAAAATTTCCCGCCTCAACTAAACTGGGACATAAGTAAAGATTTTGAAAAAAGTAGAGCGTCAGAAACGACAAAATATTCCGCAAGATGAGAAATAATCTAATTTCGTTTGCCTAGATCCTTGTTTAATTCTCATGAAAAATACAATTTGTCTCTAAAATAACACCAAAACATCAAGCTGAATCTTCTTTGTTCAAATCCTCCTTTTCAAGAAACTTTGAATCGAACAATTCTGCTATTTTCCAAACCTGTTATGATCTGTTTTTTATCGCAACAATCATGAGTTAGCGATAAAGATAACAATAAGAAGGTTCATTATTTTAAGTCTTTTTAAAGGCAAAGCTATATCTGCAAAAACAAAGATATATTATCCTCAAGTTGAACAATTTGAATGGTATCCCAATTTATGACTTCAAATATTCTTATTCTGAGCAAAAATAGCAAAACTCTTAATTTTTCGTTTTCAATGTCACGCAGTATATATATGAGTGTTCTTTGTTTCGACCACCTTCTTTGTACTATTTTGAGAAATCCATTTTTGACTGACCGTACAAACTTTCTACAAGCACCTTTTGCAACAAAATATACTAACTTTGAAGCAATTTTGTGGTCATAGCTTATGCAACATCTTAAATTCTTACAAAAATTCTGCTCATTAGTATGCGTGAAATTCTGTTGAATCAAACGTTAACGTTAACCAAAAATTGTTCGTTTATTGGAAGATTTTTTATCATCTCATCCTCGCTTTCATTTTTTGACAAGATAATATCCTTTTGTAATAAATTTTGATATTCTCTACTAAATTTTTCAAATCTTGAATAAGTATTTTTAGCCACAATTCGAGAAAGTTCGGTTAACCGGCAATATGCTGCAAAACTCAAAACAAATTATCACATTTGCTTTAAGAGAGATACTTTGTTTGTCAAAATTTTCCATACAGTGCTTAAAAACGCCTTTTTGGCCTGTTTTTTTTTTTCACAAAATTACCTGCGGCGCAGAAAATCTTGTCAAATTTGTCATAGTGATTTAGGAGAACTCAGAAATTCAATTGGGCTGACCTAAAAAAAAGGGTCGTCAAAATTTTCAAGTTTTTTTTTTTGAAAATTCGCCCCCCCCCCCGCCCTCGAGAAACTCCTAGATCCGCGCCTAATTACATGTGTTTCTGTCGTCCTCATTCAAGTTTTTTTCCGATGACTTGGTTTTGGCAAAAAGATAAATTCAGAACTTTATTTTAGTTTTGGGTTATTCTATAGAGATCTTGCAGAAGCTTTCAAAATTTTGAAATATGTTCGATTTTTTCCATAATCTGACTAAAATATTAACTCCCTTATTTAGCTGCAAAGTCAATTCAACACATTTCTGATGAAATTTTGATGTTATCTGGTCAAATGAGTACCTTGTGAAAACCAGGAAATTTTATAATCTTTGATAAATCTTCAAGATCGTGGCAAGATTTCCAGATGACTGGAACTGTAAGAAGATTGACAAGGACTTCTAAAAAAATGGTTATTGGTGAACTTTTGTCTTTCTCGAACCTGAAAAGACTGTACGGGTGTATGATCCAGGGGTTCTCCATACACCTGACCCGCTCCTTCTGAAGTGCCTTCCTGCTGCCAAACACCTTCATGGCGAACTTGTTGTTAGTCGGATGAATGGCCGTCAAGGCAAAATTGCGAAACCAGTCCCACACCTGAACACGGATGAAACTGTTACTTTTAAAAACTTGGATATTGCAATATTTTAACCTAATAAATTGTTATTGTAGTTTTTATCAAACAAGTAAGAATAAGTAACACAGTGATTCCTAGAAATTTGGTTTTTGTTGCTGAATTATTAAAAACACTAATTTGAATCTTTGTTTTAAAATTTTTTGGATTTTATCTATATTTTCCTAAAACTTTGTAACTTTTTGATGTTATGGGGAAATTTCCTTATAAAGAGTGTTGTAAACAAACGTGATGATTTGTTATACCTTGTGGAAACCGATGGACGCACATGATCCACCTGACGGCATTCTCAAGTTGTTCGAGCTTAGTTTGCCTCCACTGGAGAAACTGAGATTGTTGTCGCAAAGACTGTCGCCTACCGAGTGATGTTCCATTGCAGAATCCAGTAGCATAAACTCAGATGTGTACGTTTTCCCAGGAAACAAATCGCCGTTAATTGAACCAAAAGCGGATACTTCAGCTTCATGGAATGATAAATCGTTTTCAATTTCTAGCTTTCTGGCTAAATTGGACGATTCTGCTTCATTGATTGAGTTCAACTTCAGTTTTGTATTTTTTTGATGCTTTTCTGGAATGTCAGAATCAATCGCTGCTTGTACTTTTCGGCCCGATTGGTTATTTGTTATTAAAGAGTCGGCCGAAAATGAACACGACGATATTTCTGCCTCGCATTTACCTGTCATGTCAAGAAAAGTAAATTAAACAAAGTAAATCATTCAAAATACCAATTAAAACTTAACTAACTAATATGTGTCAAGTTTGCAAAAACCAATTTTTTCATTTTTTTGACAAATGAATATCTGAAGGTACTCATGGGATTAATTTAAATACGTTTATAACAATTTCATATAACTGGAATAAAATTACATTCAATTTTTCTGAGCGGGTTTAAAACCCAGCGATGGTTACTGGCGCTGGGCTTAAGATAACGCCAGATAGCCATATTTGAATGTTGAATCAGGCAAACGTTTGTAGCATTTCAAGAGCAAGTATAAGAGAGCACTATAGCACAATAACTAAAAAATTAACTATAATTTTTTTTTACTCAGGAAGGAGCAGCAACTAAACAGCCATGCCTTAGCAGGTGTGGGATGCGAAATGAAACGTTTCACCGGAAAAACTTGAGTTTGAATTCGGTTTAACTTGATTTTATGCAAAATAAGTGAAAAAAAAAAAATTTATTAGCCCATTTGTTTAAAAGAAACAATTAACATTGGTTTTGAACGCATTTTTACGGTTAGATTAAATAAAGAAAAATTTATTGCCTTTGAAAATTGACTCAAATCATAAAGTTTCGTAATCAGTTAGCAATTGCGTCACCGTGTTGCAGTTTCAGTGAGTTACAATCACGTGAGGCTAGTACTTTACCACAAATCATAAAATTCAGGGGGATTTTTTCAAAATTTTTCATTCCTAAAAGCTTCCACAATAAAAAAAGTATAAAGTTCAATCTTAAAATTTGTTTCATTAATTTTCTAGCAATATACTAAACCCACGCAAAAAAAGAAACCAGGTTAAATTAAAGGAGCTACAATTATGCAATTAGATTTTCCCATTTTTAGTGACTTATTTCCTTGCGGTCAAATATCAGAGTGAAATGTCATCTAAAAAGCATAAATTATACTTTTGAGTGCCGCATTTTATCAATTTTTTGAACTAAAACCATAACTCTACAAAATCTGTATACATTTTTTTCAAAAACTTGATCTAAAAGTTTATAAAATGTATAAATCCGCGCAGATAGAAAATTGTGCAAATTATGAATTTAGAATAGATTGAAACTGATTGTTTTGATTACTATTGGCATCAAACTAGATCGATTTTAAATCAAAAATAATAGATGCTTTTTTAGACATTTTCTACATTATCTCTATAAAACCGATTGCAAATCTTTTTGTCGGTACACATCTCCATTGACCTCTGATTAAAATGCTTTGCGACGAAATGTTGCTTGCTCCAAAAAATCACCTGCGTCGAATTGTCGCCATACCGTTGATAAGGGTCATAAGACTACATATAACTGAAGTTTGACGTTGTAAGAAGTACTTCAGGGGAAGATCCATACAATCGATCGAAGTTACATTGAAGTGATATTGTTCTGACAGATTTTCGAAGCGGATTAGGCAGTAATCAGGTTAAAAATGATAAATCTGAAGGACTTGTACAAAGATCACAAGAACTCGTCTCAATTAAAAACAAGGAATCGAATTCGAATTCAAAGAGGTCTAGTAAGTAGCCCCTCCCCCTCACATAAAGGCGGAGAAAGGAGCTTGGTAGTAAAGTATAGGTTCAAAATTTATTCACGCTTAACTATCTTATTTATGAACACTAGGAGGAAAATTTTTATACTTAGTGTCATAAAGATACACTGCTTTTAAACGCTAAAAAGTTTGAAAAAATACTAGAGAGCAGGGTAGTAAAAAAATTGCGTACTCAAAAACAATTTGGGAGTATTTTTTCTGGCACTGATCAATAGCTGATTAGAGGTGTCTTTAACTTACATACCATTTTAGCTAGTTGTTTTTTAAGGGTGTTTTCCACTGGTTATAAGACACGAGGCTGGTTATAAAACCTGAATGAGTTAAAATGGAGTTGAATCGAAAGGGTTGAAGCTTTGATAAAAATTCCAGGGAAGGGCAGTGACGTCAAAGTGTCGCCAAAAGCTCTACTTTTCAATCAAAAATCAACAGAAGTTTTAAATTCATACTGTTATACTTGGTATGGATTCATAGGGCCATGAAACATTTACCAGTCCAGAAAAGAGCCAAAAAATGCACGAACATGCCTAGCTCAAGAAGCCAATATCGGTTCGGAGTATAGCAGGTAAGGTACCAACAAAAAGGAAAACAGTGTATTCTTCAGATAGCTGAGAAAATTTAAGAGAAAAATAAGTCAGGTTTCTATTTGAAACTTATTTCATAGACGTTATAAAAAAGAACGTCTAGGAAATAGAACGTTATAGATGTTATAAAAAGTGTGATATAATATGCAAATCGACCAGAAACTATATTTGTAAACCGTTTAATCCAATTCTGAAGTCACACTGGAAATTTTAATCCGCTTTTACGGTATAGGGAAAACTCAAGCGAATAATGCTGTCGAATTAAGAAAAACCTTTCCCTATTTGCTTAGCTTTTAAAGACTTTCAACAGAAGAAAAAGGAATGAATTAGCATAAGTATTCTCAAAATGCCAACGCTCAAATAGGGGTTTTAAAATAAGCACCCGTAATTTCATATCTTTTCATTGTTAAAATTCACAAAGTGTTTGCTTTGTTTGGTTCTATAAGACCTTGAAAAAGGGTTTAAAAGGCTTTTCAACCAGCCAAGAGAGACTAAAAAGCCACTATCTTCACTGAAATTTGAAAAATTGTTGTTTTGAGCGCCCTGTTTTTAAAATCAGATTGCTGCTACAGTCTTAAAGATGAGCTAAGAGAACGGGTAAATCCAAAATCAGCAGAAAGTCTTCTCCATGATAATCTTTATTACGCAACTCGCAAACTATATTATGCATAATACTTTTACGTTCAATATCTTTGTGTTTGTTTGAAACTATTCGGCATTAATTTTTTGTAGGCGAAGAGAAAAAAATTGCCACATTTCTCTTAAAGTGTACGTCACGGGACGCAAAACAAGCAGCAGTTTATTAAAGCAATTTTCGAAATGTTAAAATTTGTCAGGAGAAAAAATCCACCCCGAGCGCAAGCTGTACGTCATTTTCTTCGAAAATAATCGGAACAAAAACTCTAGGAGATTTGATGCAAATATTATTAAAGATAACCTTATGTTAATATTTCCCCTTAACATAGGAAGAAAAATTTTTTCGAGAAATTTCACAAAAACAAATTCAAATTCCTTTATTTAAACCAAGAGCAATATCTTGTCGATATTCTATCAATTGCTCCCAAAATTTATTTCCCAATTTCTGAAGGAACGCAAGCTTTTAGAATGATTTCGAAGGGATGGAAACTTATTTTTGTTTATCAAGAAAGCATATCTTGTGAATTTGGCTGATGAATCAGGTATATAAAATCAGAAAAGAAAGACTCTAAAATACGGGGGAATGAGAACATTTTTTTAAGTCAACGAGCCAGGAGGTTTAACCCCAAAGGTTAATTAGTCAGCTTGACAACAAAACACAGAGTTATACAACCCGTAACATTTATATCTCAAGAAAGTGAAAACCTTAATCAAAAAAGAATTTTTTCAACTTTTCGCTATTTTCTTTGTTGATTTTTTATGTTCTCCGAAGAACTGAAATTAAGCTTCAGTAATAGGTAATGTTAATTGAAGCAAATCAAAATTTTAAAAACGAATCGGATTTTTTATCAGATATTCATTCTTCTAGTAGAAAAAAAATTCGAAAACCGATTTGAAGACAACCTTTTTCTAAAAGCGAAAAAAAAAATTTTTTTGTTTGGATTTTTGGTGGCTAAAATTTTAGCAGCATGATCGATTCACATTTCACCCTGAGGCAACAGATTAGAATTAATCGTTAGTAATCCATTGTTTTAATAAATTCAAAATTTTTTATAGTCCATTCAAAAATAATTGACTTGGATTTTTTTTTATTTCGTCTCGTGCAAAGTTTTGCAAGAATGTCTGCTTTCATTATATAAGTTATGCAAAAATTTTGCAAAACGATCTGAGTGTACGGATTACTCGATTTCAAAAACTACACTTAGACGAATTGCAAATTTCAGCCACCCCCAACGTTTTTTGCAGTTTCTTAATCCCCTTCCCGACCAAGAAAAATTTTTCGATTGGTTTTTTTTTCTGTCAAACCTGTCAAAAACAGGTCAAAATTCCATTTTTGGCCACTCAATGAAAAGTTTCTACGAAACGTCTTCATTTACGCGTTTCCTCTCAAATTTAGTATATACATTACATACATTAATAGCAAAGAAACAAACTTTAACCACCTCCGTTTTTAATTCCCCTCCCCCAAAGTTTTCAAAAATATTAAGAAATAAAATGGAAGGAAAAAATTGAATAATTCAAAATGCATACCAAAAATCAAATTGTGCAGCAAAAAACTATGTTGAATAACTTTATTTTGAAACGTGCAAGCAACTTTTTGCTGTTGAAGTTTGCATGCGTACCCCCATCTTAAGGAAAAAGAAAAAATATCGAAATCAATTGAGTTTGTTCATCGATATTTATAAAAAAGAAAAAAAATTATTATAATTGATCTACAAATACCTTTTATTGCTTTAATAAAAAATTGCAGTATGATACATTTTTAGCACATTATGTACTAATTTTTTTTGTTTTTACAGACACTGACGAAAAAACTCGAATGCAATCAATATATATCCATAGAACTCCCATTAAGAGAAAAACGTAGACCTCTATTTTTTAAAACAGTTTCAAATTTTTCAATCCTTTCATTGCAACTGCTCAATGCCTTTGGTTTTTGATAGTAAAATGTCATCTAACCGGTCAAGATGAAAACAGACCTGAGTTTTATTAGCTTGTCTGTGCAAAAAATATTCCTACGCAAAACAGAACTGAACAGGGTCTTGAAAAACCAAAAAAAAAAATAACATAGCTAGCAGAAAGTAGGCAAAATATCAATCAACTCAAGGACATCAAAAAATTGACTTTTGTGATCATTTTTCAGTTTCCGAAGTTGAAGTTTATTAAATTGCGGTAAAATTTTGTTGGATAATTTTTGA